GTGACGGTGCACGCTCGCTCACTTGCTGCACCTCCTCCTCTTCTTCCTCTGCATCATTGGCCTCCTCTCCCCCATTCACAAGGGAAGATTGCCTTGTGGTAGTGCTGCTGCTGCTCAGCTCCAAAGGCAGCTCCACATGCTCCAAACCGGAACTCTTCACCTCCCCAAACCGCACGCCTATCTTCGCCTCATTCTCCGCCTTCCAATCCTTGTACATGAAGTTCTCCATGAACTTGCAGTCCCTGATCACCAAGAACTTCTTGGTGAATGGGTCCCAAAGAAGCCATCCCTTGCTGTTTTGAGCCATGCCCCACGGCCCACACCACCTTGGCACCAAGCTTGTTGTGCCGAAGATGCTTAGGCACGAGCGCCATGCACATGCACCCAAACACCCGAAGCATATCCACCTTTGGCTTCCTTCCTAGCCACTCCACATAGGGCACCCATTTTTCTGCTCCCACATGAGTCAAGGCTCTATTCTTGGCCACACACGCACTCCGCACCGCATCAGGCCAGAAATATTCGGGTAGCCCGGCTTCAATGAGCAACCCGCGTGCCGCCTCCGTGATTGTGCGGTTCGCTCGCTCGGCGATGCCGTTCATTGCAGGGGAGTCTGGCATGGTGAGGGAGTGCCGAATACCATTCTTCTTCAGCCACAACCCAAACTCCTTGCTCAGGAACTCTCCCCCTCGATCGGTGCGGATTGACTTGACTAGACGGTCTTGTTGCCGCTCCACCATCGGGAACCAATCCGCCTTCAACGTTTCAGACACGTCGCTCTTCTTGGCCAGCACATACACCCAAGTCATACGGGTGTAGACGTCCACAATAGTGAGGAAGTACTCAGCTCCAGCAGCTCCAAGCTTCAGGGGGCCCACCACGTCCATCACCACCTCATCAAGTGGTGCCTTAGCCGTTGCCTCCGAACTAGAGAATGGGAAACGGGTGAACTTGGCTTGCATGCACGTCGGGCAGCCAAGTACCTCATCGGGCTCCCTCTTCACACGTATGCCAGCAACCATCTCATTCTTCACTAGCTGCTGCAAGATGGGCAGGGCCACATGCCCCATGCGCCGATGCAAGGTGAGCCAATCACACTCCCCCGTAGCCGAAGTTGGATTGGAGAATGCCGCGCTCGCAATAGCGCCCCACATACTCTCTCCGTAGTCCTCCTTCGCTGCTGCCTTGGGGTTCTCCTCACCCTTTTGCTGCTCCTTGGCTGCTGCACCTTTCTCCATAGGTTTACCAAGCTTGATGGTCCCTCCAAGTTTGCACTTCTTGGACTCCTTCTCGTTAGCGCTACCGTCCGCGCAATCGCCGCTACCAACCGCTCCACCTTTGGTGCTGACGCTTGCTGCCACTTGCCTCTCCTTAGGCATTGGGACCACAGGGATCTGCCACATCTCGTTGTAGACATCTCTGTCCTCATGAAGGTCCCAAAGAATCCGATCGCCAAGCCTTGCGGTGTATGTCTTGGCTCCCTTCGAGTTCATGTCCATGCGGGCCTTTGCCAACCGCCGCACGGAAATCAGGTTGGCAGCAAGGCTGAGCACCCAAAGCACATTCTTGAGGCCCACCATCTTCCCATCAGCACCCTTAAACATGGCCTTGCCCCATGCCTTTCACCTCCGCTCGCTGCCCCAAAGCCGATGTGACATGCTTCACCGGTGACGGTTCGAGTTCGGTGAGCAAGTCCAGGCGAGGTGTCATGCTATAGGTAGCGCCACTATCGATCACCCAATAGTCCAGGGGGTGTAGTGTCACCTTCCCCATAGCTGCTGGCTCCTCAAAGCCTTCATCCTTCTCTGGACCAGTCAGTACTTGCGTCTACACGAAGTAGAATAGACCCGGGTACCGATCGTTGCTCGGGTCCTTGTCATTGTCTCCGCTCTTCATGTTTGCAGCTCCGCCACCGCGACTGCCACGACCTCCACGGCCTCTTCTTCTCCCTTCTCCTGCTCCTCTACGCTCCTGGCCTTGAGCAGGGGTCCAACCATTAGGGAGCTTGTAGCAATCGTGCCCCATATGTCCGCTCTTGTGGCAATAATGGCATTCGCCGTCCAATCGGCCGTGACCGCGCCCGTAGCTCTTGTCGTCGCTACCGTAACCGCCACTCTCGCGGCCTCCGCCGAAGTTGCTGCCACCAAGCCTTCCTCCCCCTCGTCCTCTGCCTCTTCCTCGACCATATCCACGGCTGATGCTCGCTGCTCCAGCGCCATCCGCACTCGCCAACTCACGGCGGCGGAAATCCTCTTGAAGGATAGCTCGCTTCACGTCTTCGAGCGAGAGGCGGGGCAAGTCGCGATTCAGGTTGATGATGACCGAGGACCATGATTCAGGGAGTAGGGCCAGCAACTTGGTCTTCTTTTGGAGCTCACTATAGTTCAAATCCACTCCCTCAAGCCGCGTCAACAAGTCGAAGAATTTCTGCACCCCTTCTTCAACCGCTTCATCCTCTTCAATTCGTAACGTCGCCATTTGCCGTTCCAACACCACAGCTACCGCCGCTGTTGCAGGAGCGTGTACACCCTTGAGAGCAGCCGATGCTTTTGGTCCCTTCTCTGGTTCACGCTGGAAAGGCTTGATGTGACGGATTTGGCTGCTCCCCAACGCTTGCCCAAGTAGGAGGTAGCCTTGTGCGCTCTTCCGCACCCACGGGCTCTTCTCCGGGTCGTTCTCGGGACGCTTCTCCGTTCCTTCCATCACCTCCAGCAGGTCATAGTGGTCAAATATGTTCTCCATTCTGAAGGACCACTCAGCAAAGTTGTCACTATTGAACTTGTCAAGGCCAAACACTCTAGGCTCATCCCTAGATGGGCCAACACTTGGTTGCACGGGCGCCATGGCTGAGTCACGGGGTTGGCCTTGAGCTTGGGCTTCTCCTCTGCCACCAGGACCTCTGCCACCCCTTTCCTCAGGTCCATCCATCGTCGAAACTGCTCCAAGGGGCTCTGATACCACTTGTTATAGTCACAGTAGGCTCAAATGAAAGATAGAGTGCAAAGCCGGATTTCTGTACAGCAGCTTCAAACGTTCATAGCGTTGTGTTCACAACTTCAAATGACTTGATTCAACTTGGATCTAGAGCGTCTTATTGTCGCCTACAATAGGCAGTTTAGATCGCACGATTTCACCAGGTATTGACGACACAACGGCAGTTTGAACGAACGGCACTATGGCAGCCACTATAGTCTTAGAACACAAGATAGGAAGAGTTAGGAAGAGTTACGAGTTGGGAATGACTCCCAGCTCCTACAAACCCCAAGAGCCGAGGTACAGTGATGTGGAACAGTGCCACACTGTCCCCAATCACGAAGGGTCTCGAAACTACCCTTCACTAGGGCCTACACCAAGTGAAATGTTACACTACACAAAGTAATGTAACTATCTTCAATATCTTGAGGTGTACCCTTTTGGCGAGCTTCGAAATCACTTGATGCTTGACACCAAGGCTCGGGCTCTTCATCACAAACTCATCCTTGAGTTCTTGATGGGTCTGCTGCACACTCCTGCGACACACCGAACGTTCGACACAGGACAAAATAGAAACCGCGCACGACAAAATAGAAACCGCGCGCGAGACACAAACGACCGCGTAACACGCGTCTAGCGATAACTCGCTATTGACTCGACACACACACTCGACATCATGACTCAACATTCACACACAATTATAAGCATGAAATATATATTATCCCATGCCCTCATACCATTCCATACACAAACACATGCACGCACACGGACAACAAGCCGAGTGCAAACCATAGGGTTGCACCAACAAGCCTCTCCTGCGGGTGGCGGGTTGGGAGTTTCTTTGCCGCTAGCGCATCCGGCTTAGACCCCTGCTCACGTGGCTTCCTGCTATGCTCCTGCCTGCCATCCTTCCCCCTGCTGCACAGCCCCATCTCTTCCCTGCCTCTCCATGCCATGAGGGCACAGTGCACGTCCGGCTCCACCCCTTCTCCCTCCTCGTCCCTGGCATACATCCCTGCCTCCGCTCCCCACCCTGGCCCCATGGCCTGCAGTTGAGATTGCAGCCTGCTGATCTGTCGCTGCAGCTCTCCTGGCTTCCTCCTTGCCCCTCCCTCCCGCTGGTAGCACTCATTGGCCTCGTGCCCCTTTTTCCCGCAGACTTCACACCTTGCTGCCTCAGGACACTCTCGCTTCCTGTGCCCAGGCTTCCCGCAGCCATCACAGTTCTTGCACTCTCGGCGGAGGTGCCCCAGCTGTCCGCATCGGTAGCAAGCCCGCGTGTCAGCTCTCTCTTCTCTATGGGGGTCCACCCTCCCCCGTTCTTCCGGTATCATCCCTGCCGCCCACGTTGGACTGCGGCTCCTCTCTACCGGCCTTGGCAGGTAGGCCTCGTACTTCCTTTGTGCTAGCTCTACCCTCTCTGCCAGGTCAAACACCTCTTCCAGCGCCGCCTCTGCCCTCAACTCATACACCCTCATTCTCAGTCCTCCCCCCAGCACCTCGTCCAGGCCACCAAGAAACTTGCTGATGAGGAGGCTACTGTCCGAACACTTCACATCCTCCGCCAGATTGATCAGTTGGTTGTAGTAGGTCAGTAGGGATTCTGTCCGCCCCCTCCTGAACTCCTGAAACTCCTTTATGCGCTTCGCCGTGTGCCCCGGGAATTGGATCCTACCCGTATCTCCCCGCCCTCCACAGCAGCTCGTTCATCCTCATGCGGTACAGGGTTTCCGCCTCTCCCTCCAGTGTGTTCGGTAGGCTCAAAAAGAAGTCCATCGGGTCCATGCCTTGCCGGTCACACCGGTTTTTCACATTCCCCACCTGCACCAAGTAATTCTTGAGGGCAGGCCCTGCTCGTTGGTCTCCTGAGAACCTGGCGGGTACCTCCACCCACGTCGCGCTGGCCGTACCTCCCCGCCCGTCTCCCCATGATTCCCTGCCCCTTCCCAGCCGCTCTCCCTCCGTCCCTCGTTCCTTGGCCCTCTCCAACCCTTCCCTGGCCTCTCGGGCCTGCTCCGCACCATGTTCTAAGCTTCCTCCACCCGCTCTACTCTCTCGCCATCACCGGCTCCAGCCCGCATCCCCGTAAGCTTCCCTTCTGCCCCTCTCCTCATCCGTGCGTCCTCGCATTCGTGCGGGCGAGACTCGAGCACCCCCCCCATCATGCCGCGCTTGTCTCCTGCTGCCGCCACCTCTCTGGCGATGGCGACCAAGCTGCGCCCCTCTCCTGCCGCCGCCAATCCACGAACACGCGTGCGTCTCCGCCATCTTCCCTTCCCCGCTGCCGCTTGCCGAGCGGCGAGCGAAATTCCCTGCCCGTCCTCCTCTCCCACTGCTCCCGCGGGCCGGCTATCCACGCCACCCTGCTTCGCTCCTCTTGCCGCTGGCCGCGCCTTTCCGCCGAACTGGGCCCTTCCTCGTGTCCCTCTCCCCGCCGCCAGTAGTGACTGGATGCGCGTGGCTCGTCCTCTTCGCCTTCCCTGCGCATCACCTGCCTGCCTAGCGATAGTGCGCCGTCTCCGACCCCGCCTTTCTGCGCCCGCCGCCCGTCGAGTGCGCGAGGGTTGACAGGCTGCCGCTCCCACCGCCGCGGTTCTTCCCTTGCTACGCGCAGCCCGCCCATGTCACTTCTGCTGCGTTCTCCTTGCGTCCCACTACTAGTGGCACCGACGCGCACGCCCCACTCCCGCCGCTCCTGTCGACGAAGCCCCTCTGCGCTCTGCTCCTCCTGATGGCTGGCATCCCGCTCGCGCCATTCCCGCCGTCCCGATTGCGATCCTCCCACTTGGCTTGCACTCCCAACGACCTCTGCCGCTCCAGGCTCGGCGTTTCCGATCCCAGTCACGGGCTCCTCCTTGTCATCCCCTCCGTCAGCGTCTTCGGCCGCTCGCTCCAGGTGTGCACCGGCCTCTTCCGCCTCCTCCTCACTAGAAGTCTCCCACGGTTCTTCCCCGTGGGCGGCTTCCCTCGCTCGGTCGGCGTTGAACCTCTCGAGGCCACGCCAGCGGCCTCTCTCATCGCGGCGGCGCCCGCGTCCTTCCGGCGAGCGAAATTCTCCCACGGCGCGGCGCTCGTCGCTCCCATGCCCGCTATCTCCGCGATCCCGCTCTCTCTGCCCCGCGTCTCTGTCCGCGCTAACGGCGTACGCTCCTACTCTTGGCCTCCCTTCCGCCCGCTGGTCCCTAGCAACCGGCACTCGATCTGCGCAAAAAGCCGGCCTGCGCGGCGAGCGCTCCAAGGATCGCCCGCGCTCACGTGACGGCTCACGCCGCGCCCGTTCCTCTTCGCGGCGACTAAACACCTGGCCCCAACGAAGCTTGTACTTAGCCATAACTACAGGCTAGACCCTATTGTGTGGTATGAACGGGATTGCTCCCTCACCCCACAGGTTCCCCCTTAGTGCTGTGTCGCTGCGTGTTGAGGCTAGTATGACAACTATCCACTAGTCTGAGAGAATACCACACAATAGGCATCGAGTGAGTTGGCGTGGGTGAACTTACCCGACCTCGGTTTGCACGTTTCCAATGTGCGGCTCAAGGTTGGGATTCGTTCAAATCCCCATTTCGCCCTTCGGTGCTTTTCCCCCGCTATCCCAACCCGCTCTCACATATTCCCCCCCTTTCTACACCCCTTAGCAACCGACACTGCGCTTAAGGCTGCTACTTCCTATTCATCTACTTCACTATACTCCTAACTTGTCTAATACTACTTCTTCAGCACCGCACGCTATTGTTATTGCATATGCATTCCTTGCATATGCGGTGACAATGCAAAAGTATCAACAAGTTTGTAAATCAACAAGTTGGAATTCAACATGTTAATAATCACCAACATAAAAATCAAATAGGTTAGTAAATCAACAAGTTGCAGTGGCCTACCTCTTTGAGTCTACGCTTCCAAGAAAGTTGTTCAGGCCCTGGGCGAAGCTCTCCATCTCATGGTGTAACTCCATGATCGCGCAGAATGTCGGGAGCTCCCTCTCTACTGCTTTGAGGTCGAATCTCGGTAGCTTGTGGCGGAAGAGCCTGCTGCATCCGTGCAGCCACTCCTTGCACTTCTTCTCTCGCCGGGCCTTGATCTTCGGCCACTTCCCTGCCCGGAACAGCTTTGTTGGGCCCATCTTCCCAAGGTCATCCAGTCGTTCGTTCAGGTTGTCCACGCAGTCGCGGGCGAATTGGCGGCACAGCTTCACGCAGTTTGCGTAGGTGCTTCCCTGCTTGTGGCCCTTCGGCTTCCTCTCCTGCATGGTGTAGAGGTGGTTGATTGGGCGTCCCTCTCCGTCCACGCCTCGAACCCGGACCTGCTTGCCTCCACCCTCCTTGTGGACCTTGAGGAAGTTTACTAGCCAACTCTTCTCCTCGCCCCCGAACGGTTTGTTTGTCATCAAGTAGCGCTCCGTCACATCACCCGTGGTGGACTCAATAGTCTTCGAAATCTCAGTCACATCCAGCTGTCACACATGCAATCAACAACAGGGAGTAGGATTAGCAAAATTGTAGCATTATACTTCCCATCTCATCATTATACTAGCATCCAATCTCACCTCACGCCTCTGGAAGCAGCGGTTGAGGTCGTTCATGTCGGCCAGAATGTCGGCCAGGAAAAACAAACAGAACTGGAACTTGTAGCATGTCACAATCTCGTAGGCCTTGTGGTTGTGCTCCCAGAGCAGCACGATGCAAGCCCCGAGGACCTTGCACAGCGTGCGCACCGCATCACCTCGTGACAGCTATCGAACCATGTGGATTCCTTGGACCTCGAGGTTTGTCTAGTAGATCACTCGCTGAAGGTACTTGAACAGCTCACTCCACACGATTGAGTTTCCGAGAAGCGTCGCCACTGTGCGCACCACCTTGCGGCGTCCTTCACAGCCAACGCCTCACTGTAGGATGCAGGGAATACAAATCAAGAGGTAATGGGTTAATCTTATACGTAGAAAACCACACCAACTAGGAAACTTGATACACACCGGTGGGCGATGCATGGGCATGAAAACAAGTGCGGAACGTATTCCCAAAGACGCGCCACCAATCCGTTTTCTTTCCCGGTCATGACCGACGCCCCATCCGTGCTGATGCCGACGATCTTGGACACATCGACGGCTGCGGAGCGGAGATGGTTCAGAAGCACCTCGAACAGAGACCCTGCATCACACCGCTCAACCGTCAGCAATGTAAAGAACTCGCATGCGATTTGGTGATTCTTAAAAAACGCAAGGTACACAATCATGTGTTTCCCTCGCGTTCGGTCAGTGCTCTCGTCGCACTGAATTAGAAAAAGCTAATATTCTTTTAGATAGGAAAAAGTGTCAGAACATTATAGCTTATGCATTTGTGTAGGCTGTAGTGGGGTATCCCATAGGGGGTACAACCCAATTAGGGTTAGTACTTGTACCCACTTATTTCATAGTTCATTCATTCTCGTTTCAGTTTTCTCATGGTATCGAGCAGGTTCCCTCGTGGGAACTGTTCCCAGGGCCCACCAAGTCGAAATTTTTTTTTCTTGCCCGGAGCGCGCTCAGCCCTAGCCCGAGTCGCACTCCCCTTTCTCGACCCAGTCGCGCCGCCCTAGTGGCCCCGTCGCCTACCTCGCGGCCCTCGCGCCACCCTTCCTGGCCCCGACCCGCCGCCCTGCGGCCTCGTCGCCTACCCCGCGGCCCTCGCGCCGCCCTTTCCCGGCCCCGATCCGCCGCCCTGTGGCCTCGCGGCCTACCCTGCGGCCCTCGCGCCGCCCTGCAGCCTTGACGCCGCCCTTACCTGCGGCCCCGGCGCCCTTCCTGGCCCCGCCACCTACCTGCGGCCCCGCCACCTACCAGCGGCCCCGCCGCCCTTACCTGCGGCCCCGGCGCCTACCTGCTGGCCCCGTCACCTACCTGCGGCCCCGCCACCTACTTGCGGCCCCGCCCTTACCTGCGGGCCCGCCACCTACCTGCGGCCCCGCCGCCCTTACCTGCGGCCCCGCCGCCCTTACCTGTGGCCTCGCCGCCCTTACCTGCGGCCCCGCCGCCCTTGCCTGCGGCCTCGCCGCCCTTACCTGCGGCCCCGCCGCCCTTGCCTGCGACCCCGTCGCCCTGACCTGCGGCCCCGCCGCCCTTACCTGCGGCCCAGGCGTTGCCTGTGCCGGCCTCGCTGCCGTCCCCTTGCGGCCCCGCCGCCACCACTACGGCGCATGCGTCGTCGCCTGCTGCAGCGCCGCCCGCCACCCGAGCCGCCACACCCAGCCGAGCAGCCGACCGTCGCGCCGCCCTGCAGCCGCACCGCCGAGCCGCCCAGCAGCCCAGCCGCCCAGCAGCCAAGCAGCCGAGCCGCCGAGCCACCCTGCAGCCGAGCCGCCGAGCCGCCCAGCAGCCGAGCCGCCGTGCAGCGGAGCCGCCGAGCCGCCGTGCCACCCAGCAGCCAAGCCGCCAAGCCGCCCAGCAGCCGAGCTGCCGAGCCGCCCTCCACCCGAGCCGCCCGCACCGCCGAGCTGCCCGAGCAGCCCTATCCGGTAAGAGCAGCGCCCCTGTCACTGCACTGCCCTTACCCTACTGTTTGCGCTGCTAGTCTACTGTTGTCATGGCTACCCCTAGTGTCCTCGCTTTTGACAATGAGGGTCGGGCCATTGACTTTGACGTTTGGATAGATGACCTGCAGCTTTTCTTACAGTGCGATAGGGCCGACGGTCTCTCCCTCTTTGACCTCACCTCTGGTGCCTCTCCTGCCCCTGCTGCTGATGCTGACGCCACTGTTTGCTCCCTGTGGGCCACGCGCGATGCTGCTGCACGTCTTGCTGTGCGTCACCACCTCCCTACCTCTGAGCGTGCGCACTTTAGTCAGTACAAGAGTGCTCAGACCTTGTACGACGCTGTAGTTGCACGCTACTCATCCCCTGCTACTGCTGCACTGAGCCGCCTCATGCTACCGTACCTCTTCCCTGACCTTGCTGCCTTTCCCACAGTCGCTGACCTCATTACGCACCTCCGCACTAGTGACACTCGCTACCGCGCTGCGCTTCCTGCTGAGTTCTGCGCCAAGAACCCCCCCCCCCCCATGTATATCACCCTCTACTACATAGTCACCCGGCTCCCTGACTCCCTTCGCGTAGTCAGGGACCACTTCCTCGCAGTGTGCCCCACCACTCTCACTGTTGACCTCCTCGAGAAGGCCCTCCTAGCAGCGGAGAAGAGCATAGTCGCTGTAGGAGCCTCTCGTGGTGACCCCCGCACCCCTGTCTTTGAGGGGTGTCGTCCCTCCCCCCTCTTGCCCTCCGTTGCTTCTGCTGCTGCGGCCGACCTCGTTGGTTTTGAGTCGGTCGGCGCTGCGTCTGCCCCTTCGGGGAAGCGCCGCATAGGCAAGGGCAAGGGGGGCAAGGGCGCTGGAGGAGCTGGCGGGGGTGCTGGAGGCGGCGGTGGAGGCGGCGGAGGGAGTGGGGGTGGTGGTGGGAGTGGTGGCAGGGGTGGGGGTGCCGGTGGCAGCAGTGGAGGCGGAGGTGGAGGCGGTGGTGGCGGAGGGAGCGGAGGCGGAGATGGTGGCGGAGGCGGTGGCGGTGGCAGAGGCGGCGGAGGTGGCGGAGGTGGCGGTTGAGCTGGTCGCGGTTCTACTCAGAGGAGTGGCTCCAAAGGTGGTCCGCGCCAGCAGAAGCAGCGCGGTCGTGAGACCCTGTCCCCTTAGCAGCTTCGTGAGTGGTACGATGCACGCCAGCGGGGTGGGGGTACTGGTCCGTGCACCTACGTTCTGCGCACAGGTGACCGCACGGGTGAGCAGTGTGGGGGTGCGCACCCCACCCAGCGCTACTTTGGCCGCCTGACGGACACGTGGCGTCACCAGTTCCCTGAGGCCACAGAGATCCCTCGCTGGGGCGAGCTGTCTAGGGCGGGAGTTGCTATCTTTGATCTTGACTTTGATGCTATTCTTTCTGCCATGTATGCTGTGACTATTAGTGATGAGGGTGACTATTACCGGTGTTTCCCGCCCGATCCGGGCATTGAGACTGCTGCTCTAGGTACTGGTGAGGCTGCTGCCCTAGGTGCTTGTGAGGCTGCTGCTCTAGGTGCTAGTGCGTCTGCGTCCTCAGGTGCTGGTGAGTCTGCTCTCTCAGGTTCTGCGTCGGCTTCGGCCTCCCTCACCTTCACCCTTGACTATGGGGCTTCTCGCTCCTTCTTTCGAGACTGCACCACACTCACGCCGCTTGGTCAGCTGGATGCAGTGTCTCTGGCTGACCCCTCTGGGGGTCCTGTCCTTGCTCACTTCTCCACAGTCCTCCCGTGTTCGGCGGCTCCCTCTGGCACCCGGTCTGGTCTTTACCTCCCCTCGTTATCTACGAACTTGGTGAGTGGTGCTGACCTACAGGATG